TGTGTGTGTGTGTGTGTGTGCTATGCCGTCGAGTAAAGAGAACGCCAAGCATCTACACCACGAGGACGACTCGGTCAGAGCTGCGTTCCCGCTAATGCCACGAGCGGTTTTCATCCACGGAGCAAGGGAGCGGACGGAGATCATAGCCGCCACTCGAGAAGATTTTGAGATGGATCCGTGGATGGGCGTCGTGCCATGGACTGATCGCCCTATTCATTATTGGTGTGAAGAGGATTGGGAGTCCGCAATGTCCTTATGTCCATGGGCGAACGAGTATCGCTTTGCTAGCATGTTGGAGTGGGGAATGATGCATTCAAAGCAATGAAATCATTGGAGGCGGTTCACCGGGCACATTCTAACGCAACAATGAGAGCTGTTTGATGTAACATTCGAACATGAAGTGCGCATCTGTCATCATCGATACACATGTTGCCACCTCATAATCTGATGGTTTTGTAGGGGCTATACGATGACAGACGTAGCTAACTTTCATTCATGTTATATTACCTATACAGCAACCGCAAGGTCGGATACTTCGACTATGAACGCGGAGGTCAATATGAGCCGTCATGTTGAGAAATAGGGAACACTCATACGCTACAATCAGCTCATTTCATTTCAGCACATGCAACGAATGACAGCGGTTGGGCTCCGCACGCTTGATGAGACCATGATATACCCCACTTTTGACTTATGGCCTCCGCAAATGCAACGCAAGATGTCGAAGATGGCTAAAACATGCGACCCGTTGTCAAATTATTAGAGAACCGGGGCACAACGATGGAATAATATTTTCTACGGAGGCGGTTGGATATTTGACAACGAAACACGAAACTGTGGTCAAATACTATGTATTGCGTTTGAAGCACGACATGGAATGACGTATTGTTGCACAAGGATCGATCGTCGCAAGCCTCATCAAAACGATGATGTAGATGATATGACATATGTCGTATCTCGGCACGCCCAACTGTTCTGTAGTATTGTTAGAGATGCCATGATACAGTTCGTGCGAGATAGAACATTCGTCATTGGGACAATTGTCGTGAAGGTGCTTCAAACGTTCGATGATTAGGGAGCAACAAAAAACATCAAGAAAACGAAGACAAAAACAATTATCGACGTGAAGCACTTATTTCGACGTATGAATGAGATTCGCCAACATGAGTCATGTAGGGTGATGAATTATGTTATACCAAATGTGGAGCACGGTAGGCTGAAAGTATGTGAAGTAGGATTGGACAATGCTGACGCTGCTCGAAGTGCCATGACAAGGAAATGGTGCTGTGAAATTATGTGAAGTACGATTAGAAAAAAGTGACGTTACATAGTGTGCGAGAATGTGAATGTGGAGAATGTGTAAGGTAGCAATGGATTATTGACCGATCGAAGTGCCATGACAAGGAAATAGTGGGGAATCAAGGAAATTGTCGCAACTGATCAATGACTTATCGACGCACATAGCCATTATTCGTATGTAGGGATATGAAAACCTGTATTCATTTGTAGGAGACAACGATTACGGATAGGCAAGAGATGGTGGGAAAGAGACAATTGCGGATTGTGTTGGAGCATTGGGGGAAATGTCTTTTATTCAATTACGGATTGACAACAATTACGGATTCTGGGAAAGAGACAATTGCGGATTGTCTTAGGGAAAAGGTCTTTTGTTTTTGGGGGAAAGGTTGTTTATTTGTATGTAGGGATATGAAACCTGTATTTATTTGTAGGAGACAACGATTACGGATAGGCAAGAGATGGTGGAAAAAAAACAATTGCTTATTGTGCTGGATATGTTTGTAGTGGTATGAGTGAAGAAATCATACAAAATGTGACGTACGTGCTTAAGTACAATGTCTGTGGTGAAAGTTTGCAGTTTGTCATCACCTATAATATATGTTGTGGTTGCAATAATTGAAGGACACGAGATACTTCATAAGATTATGGACAAAACAATAGGATAATCAATGGAGATGAGAAAAGGTAGTGAAATATTAAAGTATCATTCATATAAACAAAACATGCGAGAAATTATAAAAAGTAAAAAACATCTAATTTTGTTATACATACAATCATGTTTGTGGTCATGCAGAACGTGCAAGGTTGTAAAACAAGCGATAATTATTTTTGTAACCGGGGGATAGAAGAAGTGTTGCGGGACCAATGGTGACTGTTATCAATCAAGCGGTGCCAGAAGCATTAAAAACAATCACGAACGGCGGAGCATTTTCATATGAATACATGTCGATGGTCAAATGTGAAGTGGAAGAAGCAAAATTACTAGTGGTTGTCATGAGATTCACAGAGGTTGATGTATATGACGTGCGAATTTATGAACGGCAAGGAACGGTGGCAAAGCAGCCAGACTACTGAGAGTGTTATAAGAGAGCTGTGGAAATTCATGAGGGTAAAAAAGCGGAATTGATGTGAGAAGGGAAACAACTTTTAAATTATTATGCATTCATCAAGGAGTTTAGTAGCATGCCTCAACCGCCAATTCCTCCGTGCATGTTAGATGGCTCAAAAAATGAATCACAATGGGTGCCAATTTTGAATGCTGTGAAGAGGATCTGCGGGTAATGGCAGTCGTAATCATGAAGTGAATTATATGCGCACACACATAAAAACATATTTAATAATTTAGGCATGTTGATTGAATAGACAGATATCAACATCCACAAAGTAGAGATGGATGTGACGAAGGATGCGAGATAAGATATACAACTACTGGATATTGACCATTGCAGCATGTGTAAGAATGTGTGTATGTGTGTGTATGTGTGTGTGTGTGTGTTCGTATGTGTGTGTTCATGTGCTTGCGTGTGTGTGTGTCTCTGTGTGTGTGTGTGTGTGCATAAAATGACTCTTTAATAATCGTATGAATGCTTGTACGATTTTTTTCTTTTTTTCGTTTATTAAGCACGGTCAGTATAAAAAAACAAAAAAGTGACTGAATGTGCACAGTAGTGACAAAATATAAACATATGCTACATTATTTCCGTTTTGCAGGATGAATGTCGACCACAATGCCTCGCACGACAACGCATCATCAAATGCCACTTCATCATAAGGAAACAATTCAAATACACCGGCCTTGGATCTCATAATATTCGACAAAAATATATGGAAAAATGATATCGTCAGCATAGACTCTCGCTATTTGCACCTTGTCGGAAATGTCGCGCCGGACGGTGAAATCCCCATGTATTGGGTCATGGGAGACAACGGCATAGAGATTCGTCGTGACGGCGACAAAGACTTCTGGTACTTGTACTCATTGGTGAAAGAAGCCGACGTAGAACCCGACGGCGAGGATAGTACTGAAGACCCTGTTACACCAACGAAGATGATCGATGCGTGGAAAACATTGTGTGTCAAGCAGCAATGGTCACAGCAGAACAGAAAACACGCCAAACAATGTGCTTGGTTTTGCATTGGGAAACCACACATACAATTTTCGATCTTTGTAGATTTTTATGGACGAATCCGGGTGTTGAATCGTAACACCACCGTTGTGACACTTTTCACAGCGGCCAAGGTGAATGATAAAAAAATAAACGCGTTGTTCATTGCTAGAGAGGAATTTCACAATGACACACTTACATCTCAAGAAGCATTCAATAACCCTACAATCGCCGAATCGCTTGGGCGTTTCAAAACTCGAATATCCCATGATCATGCTCTAAGAAAAGATCTCGAAATGAGGATAGAATGCTTAGTGCACAGTCAGGTTCATTATCTGTTTGACAATTGTGAAGAGATATCATTGACCGTTGAACATCGGGATGACACGTTAGACGTTATTTTCGATAGAAAAAAGTACACACGTAGGGGGAAGGTAGCAGTGACATTTGCTACTGGTTGGAGCAGAGACGTGTACGACTGTCCTTACTGTGGCAACGAACACATTCGTCTTTAGCATAGTTTAGAGAGAAAAGTTTTGTACCCCGTGAACTATGTCGTAGATGCATGTGTTTAGCAAAGTTTGGAGAGAAAAGTTTTGTACCCCATGAACTGGTTGGAGAAGAGACGTGTACGATTGTCCTTACTCTGGCAACGGATACATTCATCTTTAGTAAAGTCTGGAGAGAAAAGTTTTGTGCCCCATGAACTGGTTGGAGCAGAAACGTGTACGACTGTCCTTGATGTGGCAACGGACACATTCATCTTATACATAGATGCATGTGTTTGTAAATAAAAGTGTGTGTGTGTGTGTATGTGTCTCTGTACGTTGAAGTGTGTACGTGTGTGTATATATGTTATGCGTGTGTGCAACATGCACAGTGTCACGACTACGATACAAAAATGTATACTGATACCAAAAAGGGATTGTACAATACTCGAAAACACACCAATCAACTGAATAAATTTGTTTGGTACAAAACGAAGCTACTCGTTAGAGGACGAATCAATGACAATTCAGTCGTAGCCAGAAGTAAAACACACAAGTAACACACTAAACATGAAATGAAAAGTGCAAACTAGCAAAGTATGTTACACTGCACATTACAATAGAATAATGAATGCACAAAATACACAAGTTAGAAAGAAAAAACAGAGAAATAATTAATAAAATGAGCTACTTTCGCACACAACATAGAGAAAACTACACAAAGGTCAAAAAAACAAAGCATGAAGTGCCGCATACACGTGAAGTGGATATGTGCACGGAAAAAAAAAAGCAAAAAAACATCAAATAATAACAACAAATACATGACACAAAAATGATGGACACAAGCAAAGTTGCGAAAAAGTAACTAATTTTGAAGGTAAACTAATGGCCGAGTCAAAAAAAAAGAGCAAACTGAAGATAATCAAACAAAACTGACATAAAATTTGCATATGTGCAGCATAGTACCATAGGATCATATATGTTAAATTTATTAAAAAAAAGGTTTGTTTTCGAAAAAAAATAAGGACTTCGATTACGCGATTTTAGAAAAAGATATCAGTTTTAACGAAATGTCAGTTGATGGTGAGAGTACTTACCTTGGTGGTTTGGCCTGCATATGACTGAGTGCGACTACTACTTAGTTTGAGTTTCAGTTTGATCGGTAGTTGCTTTAGATGCTCGCCACGTGCTAGAGTCATAGGAGTTAGTTTCGATTCCTGTATTTTCTGAGCTAAGTTTTTTTTTACTTAGGTCAATTTCTGCATTTTCTGGGATCT